ATCACCAACTTTGGAATTATAGTTAATTAATTTAGATTAATTTTAAATGTATTGGTAGAATCTGTAAATAAAAAAATATAAAAAAATACTTAATTTATTGTAAATGCAATTGCTAAGTATGTAAATTAAAAAAATACTAAAAGGATACTGCTATTCATGTTTCCAAACATACTTCTTTCTAATATTGTTATTCTTATTTCCAATTTTGGTACTTTAGTTTTGATAATATAGATTTTAGCAATCAAGACTGATAATCTACTATATTAAAAGAGAAGTCACAACTTATATTCATGTGTGATATTTTTTTTTAAAAATGGACCTTCTTTAGAAAATCGTATTCCACTTATTTCTTATTAACATATTGACATCATTAAGATATCACATCTTATATAATCAACACATAACAACTTCGTCTATAAAATTATTTTAATTTTATTTCTAACTATATAAATTCTATTGAAAAAGAATCTAACGGAATCTTGCAAAACAACTTAAATATTTTTATATAATAATGTATTAATTAATTTCGAAATTAGTAGTCTAAATTATTTGAAAATAACAATATAATTATTTATAAAAAATATCTATATACTAAAATAATAGATGCTATATTATATATTTTAAACACAACCAAGAAATATAAATGATCCTAAACAAGTATCTATTCTATTGTATAACTAAATAAAATTTAAAAATATTTTGCTTACAAACCGTAGAAAAATGTATAAAACGTATAAAAACATATTTTGAAAGGGGTTACCTATTCGATTATTTCAAATTATTAATTTATTGAACCGAATTTGAAATTATATTATTATCTAATAACAATTTATGACAAGTTAAAATGTATAAAAACCAGTATGTATTAATAATGTCAAATAAATAAAAAATAAGATTATAGAATTACATTATTTATATCATTAAAATGTAAATCATATATTTAAAATGTTTACGCGAATATCAAAGTTATACGTTTAAAATATAGGCAGAAAAAACATTCAACAATAAAAAAGGTTAAAATCTTTGTTAGATTGAGAAACGTAGATATGTTTTTTTTTCTAAAAAATAGATGTTTTATGACTTTTGAGCACAAAATAATTGAAATACTAATTAGTAATGATCCATATGATATTGACATACTATATTGTCCCATTTATAAGATGTATGTTGTTTTAATAGATAAGAAGATTTTTATATTATGTAAATCCCAATTTAAATTTACATATGTTTGAATTACATTACATAAACACTTAATATACTTTCAAATTTAACATATTAAAAAAAAATATATATTATTTAATATTGGGAAAATTCCATATAAATACTCCAACAAAATTTTATTAAGCTTTTTAATACCCAAACTTTTTCACTTCCCAATTTAATACCTCAACTAATAATTTTTCCCACTTTAATATACAAACTTTTATAATTGTGCCCATTTAAATACCCAAAATTTGTTTATTTTAATTAACAATACTAATAAGTTTCAAACAAAATTTTAAAAAATCTCCAAAACCTAACAAAAAATATTTAAAATTTCTAAATTTACTCTAAGATTTAAGAAAGAAGGTAAATAAACTCTGGAGAAAATTTAAATGTTAAGAAAAATTAATTTTGGAGGAAAAAAAATAATTTAATTTTTTATTGCAGAAAACAAACTAAATTCAATATATAAAACTTAAAAACTTATTACTAAACTTAAGATTATAAAAAATTATTTAATTCATTTCTCTAACATATAATCAAATCAATTTTTTTTTTGTAAATTTTGGAAATTTTAAAATTTTTATTGGAAACTTATTCATATTGTTAATTAAAATGAACAAAGTTTGTGTATTAAAATAGGCCCATTTATAAAAGATCGTGCATTAAAATGGGCAAAATAATTAGTTGGTGTAGTTTTCATTTCGTTATGTTTATGGGCCTTTATTTTGGTTCATAGTTTGTTATGGCCCACTCCATACCTTCGATGTCTTTTATTTTGTTCAATCAAACCGTCTACGAAAAAGCTATTGGCCCGGTTCTGTTTCCATTCTCATATTCTCGCCGTCGTAATGTTAAGCGAAAAGGTCAATAACTCTAGGAATCCCACTAACGTTTTCTTCAATGCATCTTCAGTTCCAGAACCATCATCTTCATTTAATATATAAACACAGAGTTTGAGAACCCCATGAAAACAAGTTCCGTCCTCTGAATTTATACCTCTTTCTTCCCTTCAGTAATGGTGAACTCCAACTTCATTTCTCTGAGTTAAAGGAAGATCTGTGTAGACGGATGGTGCTGACCAGGCTCCTTCCGATTTTGTGAGGCCTGGAATATAAAAAAAATGGTGAGCTGATGGACGTTGATATGCTGTTGATTGATGGGAACGTATGTCGTTCAATCTATCTCCTTATTATTTTTAGAGACGATCTTTTTGCAGTTGTAGGGTTTTGATTAAACCAGTCCCTTTTCAGTCAAAACTAATCCAAGAATCAATCAACTTTCACCGTCTAAACACCTTCAGACCAGTGCTGGGAGAAGGATTCTTCTATGACCTTATCATATTTCATGTAACAAGAAGCAACACCAACTTCAGGTTTGGGGACGCTTCTGTAGCCGTACGTATCATCAAACATACCCAATAGAGAGGTTGTGTTTCTCAACTCATAATGGAAACACTTCGAATAGAAAGGTACATGGTTTGTTTGCTAAATTGCTTTACTTGGCCTAAAAAACAAACGTATAATGTGATTGGTGGTCATCGATAATAGTCACTCATATAGTCCAACCAGGAAGCTAGCGTCTGCGTTCTTGTTTTTGATGGACTTGCGATTATATCATCTGCAGAACCTGGAAGATTGGCTGGTTAATAGATTAATTTCACTATTCTCAAAAAAGAGTTAACAAAGAGCCTTACAATACGACACAAATAATATTTTACTTGCAGCGGATATTTTATCTTCATTATCAGTTCCATCGTCAATGTCAACATCTTTATCAGTAGGTTCACTTGCGGTTGTCTCGATAGAATTGTCAGGTTCTTTGTATAGGTCACAGACTAGAAAATCATCATTTTCCATTGCATGCTTTGGTGGGCTCACATTAGTTTCTCTCCTGTGTTCAGGTGAGCTCTTTTCCCCATCTTCTTCCTGGGCTTCTTAGAGGAGAGACAAGTACTCAGGAAAGGAGAGAATTGTTCCCAGGCGTCTACCTCTAAAGCAACACAATATGGTGGTGTTAGGAAAATAGAATATATCCTTGGCTGAGCTTAATATAATCGTTTTTAATAAACATTTTGCCACAAGTTAATGGAATCACTACTGTGTGCCTTTCTTAACTCTCAACGTTGTAGGCCGTTGAGTTCCTATGCACAGTGGTAGTTGTTGTTGGCGTTTGCACAGCCAACGGATGGTGCAAACTGTAATGTTGGAGTTGTGAGGTAATGTATTTAGAACACAATATTATTCATCCTCCCATCTTCTTTGATAGTTAACCCTTATTGAAATTATACCTTATGAAATCGTAAATGCGAGCTAGGTACCGTGTCTAGATGGCCGTCTCTGTAGTATCTGACTTTGTTGAGTTCTTTCGACTCTGATATAAGTAAGCTGACAATTTCATCTAGAATAAAAGAAACAGGAAAGAAAAGGGATTAATATTGACTGGTTATGTTCAAGAGCCTCTTCATAACATCTAAACTCCAACTGTTGATGAAGTATTTTCAGGCAAACTGAAATTTTATTCATCAAGTAAAAAGAAAAGTATTGCATGTAATTTTATGCTATGATTTTCACTCTGTAACTTTCACTCATATCCTTCAGATTCATACTAGGTAAAGATTCTATATGGTTAAAAACAACACTGAAGAAAATATAAAGGTTATAGTTGATAATAAAGTGAAGTGGATCACGACCAAGTAATCTTTGGAAATACCTCATTGTTAGGTAACTCTACGGATATTACTTCATTTTGAGTTTAACATGATCTGAAAAAGATACTGAACATAGTTGGTGTTACCTTTAGAGATGGGTGTACATGTTTGTAATTTGACATTATATTCAGGAGTTGAGTTGTTCATCCTTCTACAATATAAAGTTCAACAAATGCTCAAATAATTTAGAAAGCATAATTAATAAATACTAAAAATAAAAAAAAATTGTTATAAATTGAAAATCTAATATAAACTGAAACAAACATATATTATTTGTGGGAAATTGCTAAAACTAGCACATTCATAATACACTATTTCACTTTTACATTAATCATTTTTACCCTTAAAATTTTGATAGTCAAAATACTATTTTATCCCTCAATTAACCGTAGCCTACTAATCTATTTCTCCTCTCAATCTCTCCGTCACGAAATCAAAGGTCAACTCCAAATCAAAGGTCTCTTCATCTCGTAATCATTCCCGTCGACATCAGAATCTCCGAAGCCAATTTCTAGTGAGTGTTTATTCGATTTTCGTTCATGTACGAGCTAACCTCCGGCGTATTTGTGTGAATACAGTCGTATTGTGATTGAGGAATTCTTAGATCTTTTGCTACGTTTAGGTTAGACGGTAGATCTGATTATGAGATCTCGATGTTGTAACCAGAATTGCGTTGATCTACGGTTTTTGATCTCTGATCTGATACGATTTTACTTTTGCATGTGTAATATTATGTAGAATTTGCGTTTTCATAGTTATATAGGTTTCGATGTGTTGAGAATTTTTAATTGCTCATCTCTTGAATCCGTCTAGTTTTACAATTCATGTTTAGAAATGGATTCATTGGGTTTGGGAAAGTCACATTAGCATTGAATCTGTTGAATGCTTCCTCAGTTTCGCATAGAATAAGATATAGTATATAAAAAGCATAGGCTCTTTTTGGTGATTTGATTGCACAACATGATTGTTACTATTAATCCTGTTTAGGTTTTCCATGTTACTTTTTTTTTTTTTAATTAGCAAGTGATTCAATGCTAAATTTGTATGCACATGTCTCTCTCAGTTAGTTAAAGAAGATAAGAGAAGGATGGTAGGAAGTGGAGCTCCACAGAGAGCAGCTGCAGCTGCAAGCATGCGTAGGAGGAAGCCGAGCGGCAGCTCAAGTGGAGGAGGAGCTTCTGGTGGTGCAGCAGGATCCATGCTTCAACATGTGTCAAGACGTCAAATTTCCTAGTTGGTCAGTTGACAGGTCTCATAGGAGGCTCACATATATTTTAGTTGCAGGTTTTGCATAGAGTGGTTGAGGCGCTGAACTAGAAATCTGAGATCACCATGATCTTAAAATCGCAGAGAGCTTTGCAAGTCAAGCTGAAGTGAGAATATGTACTTTCTTGAAGAGGTTGTGTTAATTCCAACTTATCTTGTCTAATGATATGTGCAGGGTTTTGTTATTTTGGATTGGCAAGGCGTTGATAAGACATCATCGCAACCGCATTCAAGCTACACAGCTTCTGTCCAAGCTGCAATTCAGGCTGGCATTCACATGGTCTTGTGTTTCAAACTTCACAGACACTCTTTGCATTGATTATAAGAAAGTTTTACTCATATCTGAAACAATATGCAGGTCATGGTTCCTTTTAACTTCAATGAATTCATCAATGATCTTATGTCCTTAGTGAAGAACAAAGTAATACCTATCACACAGATTGATGATGCTGTCAGCAGAATCCTACTTGTCATGTTCACCATGGGACTCTTTGAGAACCCTTTGGCTGATTACAGCTTCTCCAATGAACTAGGAAGCCAGGTCAGTTGCTGCTTTGAGTATTTTTCCCTGAGCTAGACTCTGTTGCAAGTATTGAATGTTCTCAATTTCTATCAGGCACATAGACACCTGGCAAGGGAAGCTGTTAGGAAATCCCTTGTGCTGCTGAAAACGGGAACAATACCAATCCTATGCCCCACTTCCAAGGAAGGCTTCAAAGATCCTAGTAGCTGGTACTCATACTGATAATTTAGGTTACCAATGTGGTGGTTGGACCATAACTTGGCAAGGATTGAGCAGCAACAAGAACACTAGAGGTAAACTTGTATGCGGCTATTTATCATCTCGAGCAATGATTGTATAAACTTAGTTGATGATTGTTTTCAGGAACTACAATTCTTGGCGCTATAAAATCAGCTGTTGATCAAAGCACAGAAGTTAATCTTCAACGAAAATCCAGATGCTGGATTCATCAAGTCGAACAACTTTTCTTACGCAATCATTGCTGTTGGTGAACCTCCATATGCAGAGACAGATGGAGATAGCGACAAGCTAACTATGATGGATCCTGGTCCAGCCATCGTTACCTCCACTTGTCAGGCTATCAAATGTGTTGTTGTAGTTGTTTCAGGGAGACCACTTGTGATGGAACCTTACGTTGCCTCGATTGAGGCCTTGGTTGCAGCGTGGCTACCGGGAACAGAAGGCCAAGGGATCACTGATGCTCTCTTTGGGGACCATGGCTTCAGTGGGAAACTTCCTATTACATGGTTCAGAAACACAGAGCAGTTGCGTATGAGCTATGGAGATTTGCATTATGATCCGCTTTTCGCTTATGGGTCTGGTCTTGTAACTGAGTCTGTTGCGAGCATTGTAGCTAGGTAAAAGTCCTTAAAACATGTTGCATCATTCTCATACACGAGATTAAGATCCTTTTAACTCCTTTTTTATAAAGTATTATAAATCAGTTTATCAACCCTTATGAATCAATTTATATATTCTTGTAAATCAAAATATATATAATCTCTTATACATTAGTTTATCAGCTTACATAAACTAGTTTATGAACCCTTATAAACCCTTATAAATGATATATAAGCTTTTATATATAATATACTAACTCTTATAAATGTAGATACCTTATTAATGTGTTATAAACCCTTATAAATTATTTATAAACACTTATAAAGGACTTTTAAACCGTATGTAGGGGATTATAACAATATAATATTATATAAGGGATTATTAAATGATTTTATATATACTCTTATAAGAGTTTCTAAATCTATTTCATAAAATTTGTCAACGTTCTATAAGATTTTATAAGTTTTCTGGATTTTATAAGGTCTTATAAATTAGTTTTTAGTCCTTAAAAATAATTTTATTAAGTCGATTTAAAAAAAATGTTGATAAATTTCTCTAAGTTTATATTTATAATTTCATATAAATAATGTTATAATCCCCTACAAAAGATTTATAAATTCTTATAAAACTTCACCTAGGGTATTTGTAAACTCTTCAAGATTTTTAATTTTCTATAAATATAATTATAATGTATTATAAAGTTTTCAAAAGTTTTAGATGATTTTATAAATTAAATCAGTTTTATAAGACTTTATAAATCTGTTTAAAGTTCATTAATGATGATACATAAATTTATAAAGTATTAAACCAGTTTATAAGCATTAATAAATCAACTTAGTAGAGTTGTCTCATACTAACTACTTTACTAAACTAGACGTAGTTGAAGTCTGTGCCTGATTATGTAGGAACTGGAATCTATTATTTTGTAACATGTTTGATCAAGCAAATAAGTTACTAACTTCTCAGTGACATATGTGCCTGATTATGTATGAACTGGAATATATTATTTTGCGGCTAAGTAATTGAGACTATTTTTTGTAACGGATTGATTACTCAGAGTTTTATTGCTATGAATTTGGGCAGTCAACGGATGACTCGAATTCGGGGACGAATTCTTTGTAAGTGGGGGAGAATTGTAACGACCCGAACTCTAATCCCGGGATTAATTAGCCGGCTAAGACTCACCCCATACCCCCTTTTCTTCTATAAATACCCAACTCCCACCCCATCAGCTCATTTTTGTTAAAAAATCAGAAATTAGAGAGAGAGAGAGAGAGGAGAAATGGAGAAACTCATGTTTCTGAGCCATCACCGGAGCTTGTCCGGACCACCACTCGTCGGCACCAGGCAGAGCTCATCACCACCGTCAACCACGGTCAAAGAAACCGGAAATCACAGTGAGTTGAAGCTTTATTTTCTCTGTTTAGTAAATCGTCAATAACTTCTGAACCGTTGAGAATATCGTGCATGCAAGGCCACCACCGTGTTCTACTCGTCGAGACGAAGCCGTAGACACCAAAAACGCCGTAATCGAAGCCCGTACAAGCCGTCACGCGCCCCCGCAAGTTTTGTCGTCCGCGCGCGTGGCGCACACGCGCCGCCGGACCGCCGTGTCGCCGTCGCCGGAGCCGCCGCCGGACCGCCGTCTCGCCGCTGCCGGACCACCGCAGCTTCGCTGTTGGACCACCGTTGCCGCCGGTGACCGTCGCCGGTGACTCGCGGGTGACTCGGTCAACTCGGCCGAGTCAACTCAGCGAGTCAACTCGGTTGACTCGATCAACCGGTTGGTTGACTGGTTTGACCGGTTCAATTGAATTGCGTTTTGGTTAAGGTAAACCGATGGTTAAAAGCAATTGAATTTTGGTTAGGAGTAAACCGATTTGTAATTGATTTGGATCTAGTTCAATTGAAATCGAATCCGGTTAAGGAAAACCGGTTGGTCCAATTCGATTTCAATTTGGTCAAGGGTTGACCGGCTTGGGTCAGAGTTGACCGGGTTGACCTTTAACCAGCGGGTTGACTTTTCCGTAGATGCCCGTTTTCGACCGTTCGAAGGCCAATCTGACTCGGAATTTTGATCTGATTTCAGATTTGGGATCTATTTGAGCAGCTAGAGTTCATAGATACCACTTTTCCCCAGTTGCTAAGGTGAGGGTCTACTTCCGAATGATTCGTACGCGATTTAGAACTTTAGATAAATATATTTTATATCTAATGTGTTCCGTCTTTGTGAATTAATTTTAATTTAGGGTCTGATTGGTGTCTGCTTGTTTATGTTTAGAATTCTTTGCATAAACCGGATTAGGGTGTCAGATGGTTCAACATTGATTGATTCGCTTAATGTAATCATTTAGTTAGAATTGCTTGGGACGGGTACAGAGACGTAATTATGTATGGCCGGGTGTATGTGGGCTACGGACAGCTGCAGTCGTCCGCTGGGTCGTAGTTTGTTAGGTCGATAAATTGTCTTTGGGTGGTGTTACTGGGCACTATCCCAGCGTTTAGCCTGTTAGTGGGCAGCGAGTAGGTGACTCGCTAGGACCATTGTTTGTTTGCTTGGGTACTTTAGGTACCGTGTTTGACATGCATTAGAATTAATTTATATTTATTCGGAGTGCTATGTACGGGTCTACGGACTTCGGGGTAGCATCCCATACCTCACTGAGTGACTCCCCAGTCGCTCACCCCTCTTTCTTCCCATTTCAGGTGAGACAAGCAATAAGGTGATATTTGGACGGACTTGGTGCTATTGGAATTTTTATTCGGATTTTTATTTGGGCTTGGGCGAGTGTAGTTGGGCTTTTGGATTTTTATGTTACGAGATATTATTGGTGGCCCGTTGTCCCTAGAGAGAGGGAGACGGGTGTCACATTGTTATCTGAGGACGCGCCGGGGGTGACACGCTGTACTCCAAGTAGGAGGTGACGGGTGTTACAATTTTTGGTATCAGAGTTAAGGGTTCCATCCCGGTTCTGTCCCGGGATGGCGGTCAGGGGATTCGGTTTTCAATGTTTTCCAAAAAAAAAATATATATATGTATATAATAATAAAAAAAGTATTTTGAAAATTCTTTTAACACCATTCCGTCCAGTAACCACTAATTTCAATTGTCTCTTTTATGACGATGAGTAAAGTCATCGTCATTCGCCTTTCGGCTACTAGGGGTCTACCAGATGTTCAGCAGGGATGTGATTCCGCAGCTTTGTAAGAGTTCGCCGAGGTTTATTGGTTTCTTCATTCTTTCTCCTATGTTGTACATGAGTGGATATGTGACGTTTTTGCCATCACCCAATTTCAAGACGTCGCTCCACGAGTTTCGGATGTATGAGTTATGTGATGTGAGTTTGAGCCATGGATTGGCGCGTGTTGTTGTTTTGTATGAGTATATTGACTATTTTGGAGATATGCTTTGTTTGTAAACTCGTGGTGATCGCTTTTGGAATTAGGGTGCAGCATCTTGCGTTATGGTTATATTGGAGTTGCATGTGGCATGGTTGCCGGTTTTTGGTTGTGTTGACCTTTTCAGAGATGTGTCAGCTCAGAAATCTGGCATAAGATGTGGAGATTTATTTATGTTCGTCGAGTGTTACAAGTTATTCTTGGATGGCTAGAGACATTCAGAGATTCGCCAGAGATGGAGCTGAGCTTTACGGTGCTAGTTTTGAGATAGAATTATTGTCATGATATCAATAAGTAAGGGAGTTGCTGAAGGCAATGGTATATATTCCTGGAAGAGATGTGAGGTTCATTGTTTTCACGCTACATTTTGAGGAGTTATTGGATAGTAAAGCAGATGGATTTTTGGAGACCGTTGACGGTTACGAATGAGGGATAGCATGAGCTGAATGATCTTCCAGTTATTGTTGAGTAAGAGGATGTATTTGATGTTTTAGAAAGGGTATCCCAGTCAGAGACATTATTGTGATTGAGTTGGAAACAGGGAGGTAGCACCGGTTTCATGATTTACGTACCGATTAAGGCGAGCAGAGATGACCAAACTGTTGTGACAGTAAAATATTTAGCAGACAAAGATTTTATTAGACCGGATTTTTCGCCATGGAGACCACCAATGTTACTGCGACGAAGGAAGATGATATTCTCAGACTTTGTGTAGGCTACAGAGGTTTAAACGAGGTGACGTCAAGAATAAGTATCCGCTTCCGTGTATTGATGAGTTGTTGGAGTACCTGCAAGGAGTTTTATGGTTTTCGAAGGTTGATTTAGCTTCGGGTTATCACCAGATCCCCATAGCGGAGTAGGATGTGTGGAAGACAACCTCCCATACACGTTATGGGCATTATGAGTTGTGGTAAGAAAATTTGTATTGATGAACGCACCGGTAGTGTTCATGAAACTTATAATCGTTGTGTTCTGCGAGTATTTGGTTAAGTTTGTGATCGTTTTCATCGAAGATATCCTAGTTATTCTTGGAGCAGAGTAGAGCGTGCAGAGCATTTGTGGATTGTATTGGGTAAGCTCAGAGTGCATCATATAATTACGAGGTTTCTGAAGCAAGAGTTGTTATTGATCTGGAAAAAGATTCTTGCAGTCTCAGAGTGGTTATCACCTAAGAGTGTTGCTGTGTAGATCAGTAAATTTGGCGGGATACTACAGAAGGTTCATCATTTCTGAAGATTACCTTGGATTCAGAGTACCATCAGATTACTATAGCTGGGAAGTATGTACAGATTACGGTTTCACATATAAGATGGATAATACGAGTTGGAAATAATATTATTGGGTTGAAGAATTCACGGATAGCATTCATGAAACTTAAGGATAAATTCTTTTGCGAGCACTTGGATAAGTGTGTGGTTGTATTCATCAACAACATCCTGAATATTGTTGGAGTAGGGGGAAGTAAGATGCGCATAAGTGGATTTTGTATTAATACAAGAAGGTCAGATCATTGCATAAGCAGCAAACCAGATGTAGATTATGAATATGGAGCATTTTGGAATATAAGTTAGAGATTTTCGGAGTGATCACCAAAGTTGCTTTTTACATTGACTACGGAGTATTTACGTGGATATGCATTAGTGTGGTGGGAGAAAGTACGAATAAGCCATTGGACCTAACAGACTTACCTTGAGGATTTGTTAGAGGTGTCATTC